TAGCAACAGAAGCTGTTTCATTGTACAAGTAAAATGTGACAGAACCTCTGATGTCTCTCACAGAGGTTCTGGAAAATGGTCCTCTGTCAATAAGAACAAGCAAGTCTATTACAGCAGAGCCTCTGAGATGGCTCACAGAGGGTCTACGGTTTCGTCTTCTATGAAGATCCTGTTATACTATTTTTCAAAGGTTGTTAGCTGCATGTGCTTCTCACGTGACTAGGATTTAATCGACTTTATTTGGATGGCTTAGATGATTTCACGCGTCAAGATCGTGTCAGTAAGGTCGTTAGGATCTAGTATATATAGCGGCTAAGGCCTTTGTAGTCAGTGTGCTTCCGAATTGTAATCGTCTTAATTTTCAATTGAATGAATTGAAAAACCTTTGAAGCTATTCTCCAGTGTTCATCTTCTTCCTCATATTAACTGTGTGTTCTTGGTTTAATTACTCTATTATGTTCTTATTATTGTTTCCGCTGCACTGTAATCGTCCTAGAGTTCATTCAGAGTAATAGATCAATATCAAAGCTGAATTTACAGGTCCAACAATTRKTATCWGAGCAGGAATTGAATTCTTATTTGATTAATTCTGTTTTTGGTATTAATCTGCATTTTCTAGAACACCAGTCTTCTTCAGATTACCCTGTTTTACTCTATTAAATCAGTTTCATCTTGTTCCTATTTTTCTTCTTCTAATTTCAATGGCAAACTTGGCTAATACCTCGTTCATGAGTATTGGATCTCAATCAGAACCTCCCACGCTCATCCATGAGGAGTATCCGCAATGGAAGGTACGAATGATCAACTTTTTGGAGGGAATTAACCCCAGAATCTATGAATTTCTCTACAATCCTCCTTATGTGCCAATGAATTTGATTCCAAGAGTTCCAGCTACTGGTACAACCCCTGAAGTTCCTGAGCATTACGAGCCAAGACCTATTGCTAACTAGAGTGATGAAGACAAGATATTGGTTGATTTGGGCAGCAAATGCAAAAGGTTGTTAATCATGGCAATACCTCACGAGATCTTCAAATGTATTGATCACTGCCAACTATCCGTGGATATTTGGGCAGAATTGGAAGAACAGATTGAAGGAGGTAAGAAAACTTTAAATAACAATCGAGCCATTTGCATTGATGAATACCACAGCTTCAAGGCTAAGGAGGGTGAATCCTTGTCGGACACATACTCCAAATTAAACACCTTAATTAGCAATTGCAAAAGGTATGGAGTAATGAGAACGGCAGAGGACAACAACTCTCT